AACTCAATTAATCATCTACGTGGGTTAAGGGGACAATGAAATTTACTATATAGTCATCATATAATGCTATTACTCATAATAATATGAAAAAACAAATTTTGAAGACAACAACTGAAAATTAACCATCAATTCATTATTTGCAACGAGTGTTAGTTAACAAATAAAAGTCAACAATAAATTCAAATTTAGTGTTCAAAAATTAATAATTTAAATTGGATTAAGTATAGGTGGGAATTACCAAGTAATGAAACTGATCATTTAATCATCCTATAATGCTTAATACTCTCAATGGTGAAAGACTTAAGAAAAGAATTCAAAGGCAACAAATAAAAATCAAATACCAATTCATTGTTTATAAAGTCTCATCCAAAGAATAAAAATCAGTAACCAATTCAAATTTATTCTTTAAAAAGTAACAATTTTCTGGATTAATTATGTTTGTAAAACATTTACAAAATAGATCGGTTTAAATTTTAAATTTTAAATTTTAAATTTTAAATTTTAAAATCACCTATTTTGCAGAATGTCAATAAAGTAGCAGTCTTGGTGATGCATGTAGAATAATTAGTAACCAAATCATTATTGTAGCTAGTGTCAATTACATAATGATATGAAAAGAATGAGAAAATAAATAACATGAAAACAAATTCATTTCATTTTAAATTTTTAGTGCTAATAATTATAGTGATATGAACAAAGAGAAGATGAAAAAAATAGTAATTTTTCAAAAAAAAAATGTAAACAATTCATGTTTCAATAAAATCACAGGAAAAGAAAGGACGAAAAAAAAAAAATATTTATAGTGAAAATTGTTTTCTAGCAATTTTTCTTGTAACGAGTGGAGGTAGTCACAAGTAAACACATCTTGTCAACCAACATATATAAACTAGTTTAGATTGGTGGAAAAAAGCAAACATAGATTTTTCCTTTATGATGCATGGTGCAACAATCACAAAAGATATACGACCTTAAAATAACTAAAATTTTCAATGAATAATTAAATGACAAAATTTTTCCTTTATGATTTATTTGGGTAAATTGCAGGTTTTTTCAAAGCATTGAAATATGCATAGTAAAACAAAGTTGTATTGGAAAAAATTATGTAAAATCGATAAGATTACAACATATCAAAGTTAAACTTGAAAAAAATTAGTGGAATCATGTTTAAATGGGTAAATAAACCGAATATTAATTGTAAAAATGCCCAAAATTTCAAAACCTTAATCGAATGGGTAGCAGAACAAATCTGTATTGGGAAAGATTGTGTAAAATAAAAAATAAGATAATAAGATAAACTTAAAGAAATTAGTGAAATCATGTTTCAATGGGTAAAAGAAACTAAGTAATGACTGTAAATAGCAAAAATTGATGAAACCACAAATTTATACTTATAAACATGAAGAAAATGGAGGAAATGTTCACCACATTTTGATTTTGGAATTTGAAATGTTGACGATATCAAGGAAGTAGAAAAATAAACTTTTACAAACAAAAATAATATTATCATTTTTTATGCTTGTGCTCTCTATACTGACCTCATGATATGAAAAACTAAATTTTTTTAGCCAAACAAAAACACAAATATTTGACCAAACATTATCCTATAAGTAAAGTCAAAATCAAACACCATTAAATTAAACCCTAATTTTGTACCTTAAGTTGGGATTTCATCAATTTTGAAAAACCCTAAATGAAACTCACTAATGTCACATTCAAGTTTGACTCATTTTGAAACTCCTAAATTGAGGTAAGCCATATGAAACAAGTATAAACATGCGTCTGAAATAAGTAAAACCTAAATTGATGAAATATAAAAAACACAATTGTAAAAATGGAAGCAAAGATGAAAGTATAGACCATGCACGGCAAAAACATATGTTCTAAGATTAACGTATGTGAGACAGGAGATGTGTAAAGAAGAAAAACCAAATGCAACGAGTGAGACAAAGTGGAGTGTGAGGTAGGAAGAAGAAAAACTAATACCTGTGAGGGTAAGAAAGAGAATGAGATTGGGTTTTGTTTTTTTTACGTAGAATGCCTCAGAGCTTGCCATGTGTAATTCAATTTCATTTTCATTTTTTGTTTGTTTTTTTTAAACATCACACGCAGATACCGATATTCACAATTGATCTTGAAGAGGTCAAATAATATATTATTAACAAATAATAAATAAATATAAAAGGAAGTAAGAAAATGAAATGATTAAATTATAAAATTATAAATATATACTTAAATATATTAAATAATCATTAAATTTGAGGAAGACAAAATCATAAATTATATGAGAGCTTACAAAGCTGAAGAAGGACTCGAGAGGATAAAATTATAAATATACAAGTAAATATATTAAATGTTCATTAAAATTAAGGGAACCACAATCATAAATTACATAAAAATTACAGGGGTCACAATCCCTCACTCTAAGAAGATCCGCAGTTAATGACACGTTTTTTTTCTCTTGAAAATGTTTGTAAATTGTTTTTTTTCAAATAATTACTTTTATATTTCTCTCATTATGACACGTGGCCAACCTTTTCCCTCGAGCTCCATTTGTATATAACATAAATATAAACTTGACAACTTTCAAAATACACAAACATTCAATTTTTTTTTTTGTACTTAAAAATAATTTTTATATAATTTTAAAAATTTTAAATTATTACTTTAAATAAATTATTTTTTATAAAATACTTTTTTATTTTAATAAATTTTAATTAAGAATATTTTAATAATTTAATAAATTATTTTATTAATATATTAATATTTTTATATTCAATTATATCATAATTACCATTTTTACTTAATTTATTCATTTTAATAATAAGGATATTTTAGTCATTACACTAAAAAAAACTATTATTTAATTTTTTTTATATTCAATCACATAAACTACATAAACTACAATGATCTTTCCATCAATCAAAACAACTCCTTACTCTATTATAAATTACTTCAAATCTACTATTTCAAATCTCTCCTTTAGCATACAAGGTAAAATAAGAAAAAAATATGTTTGTGAACGTGAAAATGACTAAATTATCCAAAATTATATAATAATAATAATAATAAATAAATAAATAAATAATTTATAGGTAATTTATTTTCATCATAATAATGCATTTTTTAACAAATTATTATCATTTTAATTTATATTAACTTTAAAGAACCATATTTTAATTTAAAATAATTTTATCAATTCAAAGTATAATTTTGTTTTATTTTAATATAATTTTATAAATTAAAAATTTTCATCGATTAAAATAAGAGAATATGACATCATTCTTAATTCATAAAATCTTAAGATATTAGATTATAAATTTTTCCATTATGAAGTTACCAGACTTCAAACTCACTTAAATTTTCAACATTTTTATACTAAATCATGTTAAATATTTTCTTAGAATCCTAAATACAATAAACACATATGCTAGAAGTCAACTACGTGAATACTAATGACAAAAGTGGAGTGTATTTCAGTGAAACACTTGTTAAATAATTATATTGATAAAAACACATGTTGTTATCCAAGAGTTGTTATTTAAAATATTCTAACGATAAAACAGATTAACCATGTTTTTATACGGTTAAATTTGATTTTAGTCTTTAAATTTTAAAATAATATAAATTTATTTATTTTAAATTTGTAACTTTGAAATATGTTACTAAATATTAAATTTATGTGTACAAAATATTTAAATTATATATTTTATAAATTTAAATATCTTATATAAACTTTATCATTGGAAAAAACAATTATTAAATGTTAAATTTATAAATTATTATTTAATATTTTACAAACTTTATTAAATTAAAAAACAATCATTAAATATTAAATTTAAGTTTCTTAAATTAAACTATTTAATAAGGAGTAGATATATTCCAATAAAACATTTATCTTATTAAATATTATATATATATTTTTTAACTTCAGTCCTATATAATATAATTTAGTATATAATTAAAATGTATCAAAATATTATAATAGTATGTTGGGGTAATAACAAGCACCAAGTAACTTTAATTAAATAGATCCTAGTACTTTGTTATTATTTGTGTTGCAGTTATTTGGTCTATTTTGTTGCATTGGAACTATGTGGTATTTAAACAAGGCGTTGTGGATCGATTGAAATTGTTTGATTCTATTCATCTATATTCTTGGAAGTGAATTTCTTCGGCTAATATGAGAATGCCTATTAACCTTGTAGATTGACACAATAATCATTGAATTTGTTTTGTTTAATATATTTTTTAATAACTTTTCTCTACTTTGTATTGTACTCTATTTTTGGGATCTGAGTACTCCTTGTATTCAGTTTAATTAATTGATATTATTTGCTTATAAAAAAAGTAACTTCAATTAAATAACTCTTTACTTCCATGAAAATAAAATTATCTATGTTATATTTTAAAATTACATAATTAATGTGTATAAATTTTGGCTGATATTGTTATAATTATTACTTATTTATATAATTAAAATAGAAGAAGTGAGAGAGGAAAAAGAAGTAGAAAAAGAAACAAATAAAAGTGAAAGAAGAAGGATAAAAATAAACGAAAATGGATGAGTAAGAAGAAAATTATAATTTCTCTAAATGGTGAGACATAAAATTAAAAGAGAATAGATAATAACAGATCGGGTTTAGAATTTGAATTAGTAATTAGAATGTTAAGATAACAAAAACAAGTTGGTTATAATTAGTAATTAGTGATAAAGTTTTAGAAATATTTGACGGTGGAAGAGTAACATAGTGTTGATGAGAAGGAAGAGAGAGTGTGCTTGTTCCCGCCATTTCTATAATTTTTCCCGGTCCTCCCACTTCTCTAACAAACTCACTCACCTTCTGTTCGCCCTTTGCAAATTAGGTTAGTTGGATCAGTGGTTCATGCTGGCATTGCATTTTCGATCCTCTTTTCCTTTTCCCTTTTATCGCTCCCTAACCGTTAGGGTTTATTCTCTCTTCTCTTTCCCTCTGTCTCTCTCCTCCGCCCCTCTCCGCGCCATGTCCAAGCCACCCTCCGCCTTCGACGCCATCATGTCCGGCGCCCGCGCCGCCGCTAAGAAGGAGTCCCAATCCAAATCCCGAGAACCGAAACCTCCATCAATCTCCAAGAAAAGAAAATCCCCACAGTCCACTTCCTCACAAAACCCTAAAAACCTCAAATCCCCTTCTCCGCCCACAACCGCTGAACTGGAACAAGCAATAAAACCGGAAGAAACCGTTAAACCGGAAAAAACTGTTAAACCGGAAGAAACTGTTGAACTGAAAGAAGCCGTTAAACCGGAGCCGTGGAAGGTTGGTTTCCTGTCGTCTTCTTCTTCGAATGTGAAGACCGTGGAGCTGAAGAAGCAGGTTCCGCAGCTGAAGAAGAAACCCTCGAGTTTTGATCCCGCTTCGGTGACTGCATGGGAAAAGGGACAGCCCGTGCCGTTCCTCTTTCTGGCCTTGGCCTTTGACATGATTTCTCAAGAATCTGGAAGAATCGTTATCACTGACATTGTTTGCAATGTGCTGCGGACTGTGATGCACCTCACGCCGGAGGATCTTGTTCCCGTCGTTTACCTCTCCGTTAACAGTATTGCGCCGGCGCATGAAGGGCTGGAATTGGGAATAGGCGAGTCGATCATTTCCAAGGCGCTCGCTGAGGCCTATGGAAGGAATGAGGGGTGGATTAAGACTCAGTATCAGGTGATTGAATTGACTTTAGTCTTTTTGGTTTTTTCTTGCGTTTTTGTTGTTTTGTTGACTTTGGCTGATGAAGATGTTTGTCAAGAATCGGTGTCAGGTGCTTGATTCTTTTGGTTTACATTTCGTTCTTCCTGTTGACATGAATTTGACTTAAGATGTTAATGTTTTGTTTTTTTTTCTTGCATTCTTGTTATTGAAATGTATTACACTGAAGAAAATGTTTGTTAAGAATCTGTATCAGGTGATTGATTCTTTTTGCTTTTATTGCATTATTGTTATTGAGATGAAGATGTTTGTTAAGAATTGGTATAAGGTGATTGAGTCTTTTGGTATCTCTTCAATTCTTTTTGCTGAGACGATTTTGACTGAAGGAGATGTTTATATTGGCAGAAAAAAGGGGATTTGGGCTTGGTTGCCAAAGAGAGCCGTTCGTCTCAGCGTATGATGAGGAAGCCTGAAGCATTGACTATTAGGAAGGTTTTCAACACGTTTCGTCTTATTGCTAAGGTATGTTATCATCGATTTTTGAATTGAGCATTTGGTTGTTCGCTTATTCACTTACTTCTCACACTTTTTACTCAAGCGTGTGGTTTGTTGTTTTAAATATGAGCAAATTATATTGACATTGAGGTTTATTGAAATTGCAAATGATCCCCTGTCTAACAGCAATCCCCCTTATAGGTGATTACACAGTGTAATTGTTAATGTTTTTCGAGTGACTGTTACGTATATTTCAAACAAGTAAATGGGGTTAGTGCAGGGATTAAAAAAAGAGGGGTATGATATGGAATTTTACAAAACTTCAGCGATATTCTTGTAATTTATGCTTCAAATATTTGTTTATAGTTTTTTGCTGGCAAGTTTAATCTATAAGTTCCACTCTGCATGGATTAATTTGAAATTATAATATAACATTGCAGTGTTGAGTAATTGAGGAAATTAAATGCAGCATGGCCTTGGGCCTTTGCTTTGGGATAACCAGTTTAGTGTATTCTCAAATGTGGTATAACAACATGAATGGTAAAAAAAGAGACAATTTGCAAACATGAATTCCGAGTTAACTGATATACATTTGTTTTGATCTTTAAATTCCTTGCCATCTGTTTGGTTGGCTTGTTGGATGTTAGTATGCAGGGTGTGTGTGCTGTAAGGAGAGATAAGAGGTATTTGTTGTTGGGATTTTAAACCTTTTTTGTATAGAACTGAATTGCTAAGTTATGCTGTTATTTTTTCTTTATTTCCAAATGTGTACAGGAATCTGGAAAAGACAGTCAAGATAAAAAAAAAAGTCATGTCAAGGCACTTCTTGTTGCTGCAACTGACTGTGAACCTCAATATCTAATTCGTTTGCTACAGGTGGACATTATATGTTTTATTCAAAAGTTCAGGTGGGCTTCTTTCTCCATGTTAATTGCATCTTGGTCTTGTTTTCTAGGCAAAGTTGCGAATTGGTTATGGTGAGCAAACACTCTTGGCTGCATTAGGCCAAGCTGCAGTATACACTGAGGAGCACTCTAAGCCACCTCCTGACATTCAGTCTCCTTTAGATGAGGTAAGCTACTGTGATCAAAGTGGGAAATCAGGTATAAGATCAAAGTGGGAAATCAGCTATAAGAGTGAATTGGTTTACATGGCTCATTCTTGTGAGCTCAGGTTGAATTGTGATCTGTGCTTTATGTTTTAAACTTTTGAAGTGCTTCAGCACTAAATTTTGGGGATGGGGTTCTGCTGTGAAGTGGGTATATCAGTGATTTCTGGTGAAGATACCACCAATCTTTTCTGTATTCTGCATTTTAGGAAACTTGAGGCAGAAATTCATTTATATATATATGTGTGTGTAAATAAATATATATATTTATTTCTGGTTTTATTTTGCATCAGGCTTCAGAGATTGTTAAACAAGTCTATTCTGTTCTCCCAGACTATGACAAAATAATATCTGCACTGTTTGCGGAGGGTCTATGGATGCTTCCAAAGAATTGTAAATTTACTCCTGGTGTTCCAATTAAGCCTATGCTGTCAAAGGCAGCAAAGGGTGTATCTGAAATTCTAAACAAATTTCAGGATGTGGAGTTTACCTGTGAATACAAATACGATGGAGAGCGTGCCCAGGTAATACTTCATGGTCAAGTTTTCCATCTGAAAAATAGCTCTTGTGTTACTACTTATGTGAAATAACATTATCTGTGTTTTAACAGATACATTACCTGGAAAGTGGCTCAGTTGAGATTTACAGTAGACAATCAGAACGGAACACTGAGAAGTTTCCTGATGTTGCTGCTGCTGTTTCAAGGTAAAAATGAATTATATACTTGAGGTCTGGTCTAGTCTTTTTGGGTAGGGCATTTACTTAGCAACATGAAATTGCACTTAGTGAAACAAACACTCTTAATGGCCATTGATTATTTGAGATAAATACACTAGTTCCTTGCTTCATGTGAAACTTTGTAGTTTCTGATATTTTATGTCAGTGAACAGGTTAAAGAAAGCAAGTGTATCTTCATTTATTCTTGATTGTGAAATTGTTGCATATGATCGCGAAACAAAGGAGCTTCTTTCTTTCCAGGTAATCTTGATGCTGTTTTTTTTTTTGGAAGTCAAAACATTATCAGAAACCTTTTTATACTGGCAGTTGATCAAAATACGTCCTTTGGATGTTATGCTTTGTGTTGTCTAACCTGTGTTGGTGATGCAAGTTTTCGGTTTCTGATATTTTTGTGCTAGAAGTTGATATTAGACATATGACTAGAAAGAATAAAAAAAAGTTTTTAACTTATACATAGAAAGTCCTCTTTTTTAGTAGAGACAGGACCTGCCATTTTCCTTATTGTTGAAAGTCCCACATCGCCTACCTCATATCATTTGGTATGGTTTAAATACATGTTAGGCTACTCCACATATTGCCAATTGGTTTTATGTTGGAACCTTAACATGGTATCAGAGCCAAAGCCTAACATCTTTCCGATTATTGTCATGGGTCAAAAGTTGTCCTTTAATTGGGTCAAAAGTACCCTTTGCCTGGTCCGGCAGGCTTCGTTGGAGGGGGTGTGTTGAAAGTCCCACATCGCCTACCTCATATCATTTGGTATGGTTTAAATACATGTTAGGCTACTCCACATATTGCCAATTGGTTTTATGTTGGAACCTTAACACTTATAATGGGAATTGCATTTGCCTTATCACATTTATGACCTGCTTTTATCCTATGCCAAGTCTTTGTGATCAAGGACATGACATTTAAGTTCTCTTTTGACTCTTTCAAGAACATGTTTGTGGCAGACTCTTAGTACTCGGGCTCGCAAGAAAGTAGAAATCAAAGATATAAAGGTTAATGTTTGCATATATGCTTTTGATTTGTTGTATCTAAATGGCCAAGAACTTCTTCAGGAAAACCTGAGAGTCCGTAGAGAGGTACGAACTCTTATCTTTGCTCTTCTAATAGTTTCATGTTTCTGTTTTTTTTTATTAAGTAGACTAGTCCTTGGTAGAGGCTGAAAGTTTGAAACCTAAAAGCTGATCCAGTTTTTGAGATACTTTTAATTCAATGGTAAGATATTGATTGAACAAGTGCTTTCAAACTGAATTTAATTTATGCAATGATGTTAAATTGTATGTGGCTGGAACTGGAAAGGGGATTGTAAGATATTTGGCTATGGACCGGTGTATTATGTGGGTAACACCTAGGTGGGTTGGCTCAGTTTAGTTGAAAGGGTTGGTGCTCGAGAACTAATTTATAACTATAGTTGATGGCCTTTTGGCTAGTAGTCAATCTAATATTTGTTTCAAATGGAAAGACTAAAATTCCTAGGTGGGGAACGCAAGGGATTGGGCTTTTAAAAAATTTCAGTTTGGTAGTGTTAGGACTTAAGCCCAAGAGCAGAACCCAACCCAAAAGACTAGCCCATTAGGAGTCTCGTATTGAGTAGGAGAAACTTTTTATGTGGTGCTTAAGCCTTGAGGCTTTACCACCTAATGAACTAGTCTTTTGAGTTGGACTCTCTTATGCTTATGTCTTAACAATTAGTACTCTTTCATTGAGATTTAGGGCTAGAAAGGGCTACCTATAGGTTGGATTAACATATATGAGTGAAGTCGTCTCAAGGAGAAAAGAGCTACTACCTGCTAAATGACGATAGAGTGAAGCTAAGGAGATACTTAAGCCTGGAGTCTCAGTCTTTTTCATACTGCTGAACAAATGTTATTTTTCTAAATTATTGTCATTGAATTTATTATTTGTCATCTACCATTAATTATGGACTTCTATAGAAATAAGAACTACTGTTTTGGTGGGTCCTTCTCTTGTGCTCTCAAATCCTAACACGTAGGGAGGCAAATTGTTCTCTTTCATACTGCTGATCAAATGTTATTTTTCCAAATTATTTATTCATTGAATTTATTATTTGTCATCTCCCATTAATTATGGGCTTCTGTATGAAAAAAAACTACTTATTGATGGGCATCTATTTTCTCTCTGCAGCATCTTTATGCCTCTTTTGAGGAGGAACCTGGATTTTTTCAGTTTGCAACAGCAATAACTTCAAATGATGTTGAGGAAATACAGAATTTTCTTGACCAAGCTGTTGGTGCAAGGTACACTGTTTCTTCTAGTTAATTTTGAGTTTAAAATGATGTCATTTTGCACAATGTTTAGTACTCTTTAAATTATGTTAGTGTGATTTACTAATAGTATTTGATAGGAAGTAGATGACATCAGACTACTTAGTGATTGACAAGGATTTATGTTGACTGTGCTTTATTTAGTTAGCGGAAGAAGCTGACAAAACAAACGGACCCTTGATTGTTTATTTGATCAACAGTCACACATGTTCCAACTTTGGTTTTCTTGTAATAATTTGAATGAAAATTTGTCATTGATATTTGGCTTGTCTCTTGATTCATAGTTGTGAGGGATTAATTATTAAAACATTAAATGAGGATGCTACATATGAACCTGCGAAACGATCACTCAACTGGCTAAAACTGAAGAAAGATTATATGGACAAGTAAGGATGTGTGTTCTGACATTCATATTTCTTAATTCTTTATTATCATGATGAATATCTATTTACTCATTGGCTCTAATTTGCAGTTTAGGGGACTCACTAGATTTGGTACCAATTGCTGCTTTCCATGGACGTGGAAAACGTACAGGTGATCATGAAATGTAGTCTTTAATGTGGTGATGTTGCTTTGTTACTTGTTGTTTTTAATAATCATGTATGAGGAAGGCTATGTCCTTGGGATTTAGATACACTGCTATTGTAAACCCCCATAGCTCAGAGTTGTTTGAAACGTTGTAGGAGTTTATGGTGCCTTCCTCCTTGCTTGCTATGACAACAATAATGAAGAATTTCAAAGTATTTGCAAGATTGGTTAGTATTTTATTTTAGTCAAGTCACTGCCGAGTTCATTTGTTAAAGATTATTTCTCTTAATTTTCTTGTTACGGTGGACAGGAACGGGATTCTCTGAATCTGTACTTGCAGAGCGTTCTGCTACTCTTCGTTCGAAAGTCATTTCCAAGCCAAAGGTCCCCCTGCCTCTTGTTTCACTCTTAACCTTTTGAGTCGCGCTTAATATTTATATATTAATTTAATTATGCTCTTTGATTTCAGTCATACTATAGATTTGGAGAAACAATCAATCCTGATGTCTGGTTTGAAGCCAGTGAGGTGAGAGTTATCTTATCTTAACGTACCATCATTATAGAGTTATCGTATACCGCCTCTTATTGGTATTAGTGTGTATTTGTTTTGAATTTCCTACTTTTGGACAACTATCACAGTCTGATTCCACTTGATGATCATCATGGGTGAATGGTTTCCCAATGTGATCGAGTTGTGATTTACATGGTGTCCATCAACCATCTAGATTAATAAGCGTCCTTGGAAATAAGTTACTAATTACATTGTATAATTCCTGGGACAGTGTAGTAAGCTTATGATACTTATTGTTTAACTCCTATCATATTATGATTTATGGTTCAATTTTTAAATAAGAGGTGAAAGATCTTATGTTTTTTTATTTGGTAGAGAAGAACGAAATAAGTTTGAAAATAAAATAAAAAGTTGAAGATGATAGGTTGAAGAGAAATAGAAAGATGAGTAAAATCAAGTTAAAAATAGTATGGCTCATTTTTTCAAAATTATTTTTTTCGCACTAAACAATCTACACTTATTTCTTTCACCTTTGTTTCTCTCAAACAATCACGCCACTGGAGTTGACATGATTTTGCCAATGCCTTCATTTTAATTATATATTTTTACCCAATGAAGTTGCACTATGGTTATTGTAACAATTCATTTATATATGTTACCCACTGGAGTTATGTTACCTTATTTCATCCAGGTGTGGGAGGTGAAAGCGGCAGACCTGACCATTAGCCCTGTTCACCGGGCTGCCGCGGGCATACTAGATCCGAACAAGGTAATAGAAACAATGAATTGATGTGGAAATCTCAGAATTTTCCATTCTTCAGTGTTAACAAAGTCTATAGTCTTCCTCTTCCTCTTATATTTATGGTTAAACCTCTTCTAATAAAATCAAAACTGTCAAAGTTTATTCTCCTATTAAACCCAACCACTATTTTTTTAGGGCATATCTCTTCGATTTCCACGACTACTTCGAGTCCGGCATGACAAAGCTCCTGAACAGGCCACATCATCTGAGCAGGTGAAGTACAATCTACTTTATCGGACCAACAATATGAGAAGACTGAAAAAATAGCTATGGAAACTCAAATTGAATTTTTTTGGTCATGTTGTCCTCGTTTGTTTTGCAGGTTGCTGAAATGTACAAAGCTCAAAAACACAATCAAGCGAACAACCAAGATGACGATGATGAAGAAGATTATTGAGGGGGAAATTTTCCTCTCTTTCGTGCTGAGATATAAAATATAAGTTTTGTGCTACGAGAGTAGATGTGTATATGCGAATTGTTTGCCTTCTAGAGAGCATGACTGTTTATTCAACATAATTTGGAAATTCGATGTACAATATTGGAGAAGCTAATGAAGGGGTTCCAAAAGTCCCAAAAGTAGACATTTGCGCTTAAACCGTCTCATTTGGAGTTCTGTTTTGTTCTTGCACCATGATGCTGTAGTTGAGGCTTTTAGCATTGAGGAGAACTGTTGTCAATATAGTCCATGTGTCAAATGATTTAGTATGGCACATGTTGTGTGGAGCTTTAACTCCGTTTTCAATTGTAAAACTGTTTATTGAGCTTGCTTTTTTTTTTTTTACAGGAGATATTTAGATGTTTTGAAAAATCTAAGTCTAATTGCTTGGACCTGACTCAGAAGATAAGATTGAATATTATTTCCATCAATGAGTGCCATGAAGGAGATAGTTAAGTGAGATCTGCCTAATGTTTTGAACAAGTGTTCATCTTCAAGTTCTCCGCGTTCCGTGGAATAATCCCCCCCTAAACCCTTTTCACTTCGATCTCAGTTTAAGGTTGCCTTTAGTCCAAACTAATTTTCGTTTCTTACTTTTCTTTGATTTTTTTACCCTCCTTTTCGAGAGGTAGCGGCATTGGTTTAATACGTGAATATTCCTTCTTTTTTGCAGACCGGAAATGACTTGACGGGGGGTTCTTTGAACATAGACGGGGTTCCTTGTTGGCCCGTAGTATTTGTATGGGCCTGGGCTTTACGTGGTTAAAACTATCTTTGAGATATTAACTTTGTCGAATGAGTTGTTTTAATTTTGGCTTATTCGGCCTAATATTGACTGAAGCTTCGACGTCTCTTGTCTTGTAAGGCACGAGTCGCGTCATTTGCGCAGCCTGTGTCCATCGTTGGGAAGAGGCTTAGCGTGTTTTATAGGACTTCCTTGTTGCCGTCACTGGCAAGGATATGTATTGATGTAATGTTTAATTAATTAAACAGCTAGCTGGATGAAAATAACTTTTCTATTTTATTTTGTCGATTAAGAAACGAAACTCATATACCTGGCGCTAGCCTCGCAAGAGAAGAGAGGTATACAGGGATAATCCGTGGTCAAAATGCTAGAAAATATTAGGTTCTTGAATAGGAACAGTGACAATTGCTGGGTAAAGTTCACATTTGGAAAATACGTGCAGTACGCACTATTTTTGGCCAAAGTTACGCAGCGTCTTCATTCTACCTGTCCGCTTTGGAGAAGACTGCCCATGTGATTTCCCTTTACCTGCCCTTCACACTGTTATAGAACATGGCTACACTTAGTATGAAATGTGATTCTGACATCCTTCACTCTTGGATCGTTAAATATTCAAAATTGGTTCCAAATATTGTTATTTTTATAACTAAAGGGATTTTCTTAAATAATCGCATACACTGAATTAGGAGGATAGCTGTAAGACGTGACAACAGCAGTTGTTTATAGATTGTAGGCAACCTTCTGATATTAAGAAAAAAATGGGTTACAATATAATTCAACTTCATATACCATAATTTGGCATGCATCATTTGTTGGTCGAGTGGATAATTTTTTCTTTTGGTTGCCATGCTTTCATGGAACATGATAGGTAACATGGAGATGTATTGGCCAAAATTAACAGCTCTTGTGCCTCGTTGAGAGGATGAAATATTTGGCTCGCTCTTTACGGAATGAATAACAGATTGAGATTGATTGAGTGGGAGCTGATACACAATACATATAATATAGACTAAAGGAGGCTTTGCTTTAGTTTAGTGAATTAGTTTTAGTAAAAGAGAAGAAATAGGATTAGCAGTGAATAATGATAACATGTCTAAAAAAGCTTAATATAATCATACACCACACCAGTAATAGATCCTGATTCTGATTTGTGGGTCCACGAAACCCGACACGCAGAGCTCATGGCCGTCCCCCTTGGTGGTTGGCCACACCATCTCCCAACCCCAACGACTACACACCCAATCACCCATCCCTTTAATTGTTGATGTGATCTTATGCATCAACCCCCCTCTCTCTCTCTCTCTCTCTCACACACACACACACACACTCATATCACTTACTACTGCACTACATTATCCTAGTTTCATTACAATTTCAGTCGCCCTTTCACTTCACACAAAACAAAAGGAGAATGTAAAAAGGGCAAAAATGCCAGCCAAGGACAAATCCTTCTTCCAACTTCACCAGAAACCCAAAATCAAGCATTTTTTTTCTTTTTCTTCAGCTCTTTTCCTCCCACCGAGTTAAAACAAACCACTGTACATATGCTAGATCAGTCGAATCGAACACCTAACCTTTAAATCATATTATAAATTAAAAACTAAAAAGGATAAGTAAAACTGACTCAGTAACAGTAATAGTATAGTACTAGTCAGTGGAGTACAATCCTTTGGAACTTGGTCTGCGTAGGAGAATCAGAGCCCTCGCAGAAAACCCTTTTCCTACTGACTCTACCGCAGTTGGAGGTGAAGGAATCTTGGTGGAGGAATTGTGCTTGGCCCTGTGTTTGTGGCTGCGGCTGTGGCTGTGGGGAAGGAATGGTGACGGGTGGAATCTCGAAGGACTCAAGAGGGGGTGGGGGGTGTCTCCATTGAGGAAGTGGTCCTGCAAGGAGCAGAGTCTGAAGGAGAGGACCGGCTTTCATCACTGCCTGCAAAAGCTTACCCTTTTCTGGCAAAGGTTTATCCGGTGATATAAGCTCAATCATTGACTCTGGCAACTGTGGCTGCGCACGCCCCGCATGGGGGGCCTGACCCAAATGCTCCATAACCGGAGAGGACACAATGCTTTCTTCGCAATCTGATGATGACAGCCCATTGTTGGAGTCAATCCCTCTCCTGGGCTCATCCTCAATGCTGGAAATCCCAGACGCAGGGGCTGTTTGGTGCTGCTGCTTTTGCTGCTGAAAAACCATTTTCTCCAACACCAGTCTCTGCCATTTCTCTTGTGCCTCGTCTCTTTCTCTTATCACCTTGTTGAGGAGCTCCTTCAGACTGAGAAGCTGATCGTCCCTCTTTCTGAGCTCCTCTTGCACACTTGCTCTCGTTTGTTCCAGCTCAAGAGCGGTATACATCAGGGACTGCTTCAGCTCCTCCATTGACTGTGTCATCGCAGTTGTGCAATAACATAACGAATTAGTCCCTAAGGGGCATTACACATTTTTTGTATCTTTAAGAACAAAAAACAAAAAAATAAATCAAGGTTTTACCTTTCCGTGGCAGTAACAAGCCCAACTGAGAAGAGGACTGCGGTTGTTGTCCATGTGTTTGTTTGAGTCTCGAAATGAGAATTGGTGTTGTTGGAAGAGAGAAAGTGAAAGGGGAATGAAGAAAAGTGGATTGAGATAGAGAGTTAGGGGGGTTTAGAGGATGGTTGAAGGTGTTTTATAGGAAGTAGTCCAAGTTACTGTGTGGGATTGGAAAAAAGCACAGAAAAAGCCAAAAGCTAAACTGTGCCCAAATCCTGCGCTCCCTCTTTCCCCCTCCCCCTCCATCTTATAATAATATCTCCTTACTTCCGTGATATATGTCATGTCTCACTGTTCCATATTCATTTCCAACATTCTTAAAACCTAATTAACATGCACAGTACATGTTCCTGTCATTCTTATTATCATTATTTCTAAACTCATTATAATCATGGTAAAATTCTTTAACGAATCGAAAGTATATCACTGAGAAACATATTTCTAATACAGGTATATCTTTTCTCAGTGTTATCGATTTTAGAGTAATCCTTAAATGGAAATAACAGTAATTAAGTAAGGTCTTTTTCAAAATTAATATGATTGCAAAATTTGAAGCACAGTGTTGCAGATAAATTTCCCTTAAAATTATAGCCCATTTATATGTGTAGGAACAATCAATATTATTAGACCAAAGAGATATATTTTTCATCCTAATTAATTCATTACGGAAGGAATAGGAATAATGAAGACAGTATTATTTTATCTGATAACCATCTTTGGTCTGCATAAAGAAATGAACTCAATATTTTGGTTTCCCTGCATCTTTTGCATGGTGTTGATGAAGAAAATGTAAGAAAGTGACCCTATAAAACAGTGATAACCTTTCAACTATAAAGTAATAATAATGATAACAAAAATGAAGGGGTGGACGTGACATGACCCTTATAAAATGCCAATAACAATCATCTTCCTTTTGTTTTCTAAATATAAATTTCACATTTAACTTTAAAGTTAATAATAATGGGAAGAGCTATCGAGATCTTTTTGATGTTGAGTGCATTATTCTATGCTGTAATTGTATTTTAATATTATCATGAAGCTTCCATGAATGCGAAAACCTCTTAACCAACACGAGATTAATCAGATTCACATGGAGTATTAAACATAATAGTTCAGAAAAGTAAGAATGAAAAATATATTTTAATGGTTTCAAACTTTGCTGGGTTTTGACCGTGACAGAGCTATTTTACGACTGTAATTTGAATGATACGATCCTTACCATTATTCGTTACCCCCATGGCAAGTAACTTCAACTCTCTCTTTCTATGCATGCATCTCCATTTTTGGCAAAGGGAACTTACCCTTTTCATTTTCATTACACGTGGGCTGCATCCAAACATCTTTTTTTTTTTTTTGTTAAGATTAATTTCAACTAATTGGTTCCATCAACATGAGTGTCTCACTTTGATTTTGCTTCTTTGCTTAACTAAGTTACAAGAGATTTTTAATGCATTAAGACTTGTTTTGTTGGGTTCAAAAAAGCCTTATTTAGTTTCATTTGTTTAAAATCATTCGAATCCAGAAACATACGTTGTTACATGAATGGACGATAATTTGTAAAAGTACCATTATTCCCATAATGTAAAAATATATACCCATTAAAAAATTTCCTTAACTTTTCTCTTGATTCACTTCTTTCTTAATATCATTTAAAATTTATTGAAACGGAAAAATTAACAGTAAAATTTACAATAAAAGAGTGTTAAATCATTATTTGTGGTAAACCTTTAAACTATTCCATCAGTATGTAGAGATAAATTTTTTTATACAATCACATATAAACATAGGAAATAAATGTATAGATTAATGAGAAACATTCTTTTCTGCCCTATAAAACACATAATGTGTCAATAAAAGCTTTTTTTTTTTTTTTTTCTTAATGAAATAATTGTACGTATTTGTTTAGGTTGACAATTTCAACCGTTGAGAGTGTTAAAGACGACTAATTTGATGAAGATTTTTTTATGTGAACATTATTACCAGCAAAGATGACAAATTAATCCTTACTTTTTCCAAAGAAAAATGTCATGATAAAGTTCAATTTGCTAATTAACATGAATATAGAGAGAAATGGTTTTGGTTATAGTGATGGGTCAATTGGTATAAGTTTTGTGCAAGAAAAATTTACTCGTTGAAGGAGTTAGTCTTGGTCTTCCCATCATGTAAATGTTAAGGACACCAATTATTTATGTGCCCTAAAAGATATTTTATGCATAGAACAATTATTTAGCGTTGGAAAACCCACTTCCTCCTTGTCTCTTCATATTTGGTCACTATATATCTTTCATCCTTGGAATGTGATTTCTCTATACGTTAATGGTGGGTATCAACAATTAGAAACCCACTTTGTTCATAAAATTTGATTCTTTATTTAATAGATTTCAAACAAAGCCCAGTTATAACATAAACTACAATTTTCATTTTTATTAGTGGGGTGTATGATAACTTCATCAAAAGTTTTTTTTTAAAAGAAGTATCAATACATAGATAATATATTTTCTTTTCTTCATGCATGGGATGTTGTCACCATTCGAAGCTTCCACTCATGTTCTTTTTTCTCTATCAGATGCTACCATTAATTTCCTGAAGACCGTAATCAGTGATGAATGAATCCAAAATCTCTTAACTGTATGATAAGTACATGAATATTAAGATATGTATGTATTTTCTAGAAAGCGTGTTCATGAGAAGAGATTTTCTGGGTACTTTTAATTACTGTGATTCATTCATCATTTTCCTTTTTTATGTATAAAAAAGAAGAAGAAACATTGCATTTTTGTCTCAGCATGTCATTTTTGACAACCCAAACGAAAGAAAAATGTAATTAAAAATATCCCACGCCACTCCACTTTGACTTTAGAAATACATGTGCTTAGCATACTACCTATCAATAGATCCCTAAGGAATACCCATTTTCCATTATTTTCCATTAAACACATAGTTTTTAGTTTTTTATTTTATTTTTTTTAATAAATGACAAACTCATTTTGTTTTATATTTATATAATTTTTATCTTTGAATAATTGTTATTTATTAAATATATTTAAGTGTGAGTTTAAGTTTCATATTAAGTAAAAATAAGAAAAAATATCCATTACTTTTAAATTAAGAATATTGAATCTATGTGTCAGGTATTATCTCTTAGATGCAACATTATTTTCATTATTCAAAATAAATATAATTATTATATTAGTTTTTTATTTTAAATAAAATCTTTAAATTGAAAGTGTTGTTCATCAATATTTTATTTCAGAAAGCCAAATAATTTAAACGGTAATAAAAAAATTCCAACCATGATATTGGCATAAATTAATGATATTGTTAAAAATAATTACTACTAAAATGATTTATTTTATATTTAAAACGGTATCATCATAACTTGTTGAACTACTTACGTAAGGGGCACATTTATTTGGATTAATATTGAGAAGTGATAATAATATTTAAAATAGTTTTATTTTAAACGATGTGAAAACATTTTGCAGTTTTAGATATTCAGGGTTTTAGGGTGTAGTGGTCACAAAAAGGAGGGCACAGAAAGGGAAGGGCCCTATTTCAAATAATAAAGGAGGCTTCTATTTGACGAAATGAAGACCCAAACGCTGTAGTTTGTGGAAATATGAAATGATATTTGGATTAAGAGAGGTAGGGTAGCCTACACTATAGGGTAGGACACGTGTTGTCTTTAAAACAGCTCATGACTAATGGTGGTTAAACTGATGATGAGGGTTAATAGGTTAATTAATTGAACCATGATATGTGGCTACTTCTTTTTGTTCATGGATAATACCTACTAATTAATTATATGATTGTTTTATAGCTCATGATGAGCTTTATGTCGCATCTGGGTTTCATTTCATGGAATCTTTGCAATTTGGATTCAACTTTCTCAGATTGCATGCATGCCCAACTCTACGAAGCGGCAAATGGAAGCATTGGAAGGACCATATTTTTATTCTTCATGTTAATAATTTTTTTTTAAAATATTTTTAAAAGACAAAATATATTTTAAAAAAATTAAAAACAAACTAATTAGGTTACTAGGTATATCATATTTGATTGATCTGGTGAGGTGAAGCCAAATTAATCCAAATCTAATTTAATGATTGAAAGCATGTTTAATTTTTTATCTTCATTATTAACTCGTCCACTTGTGGGGTTCAAGAATTTGAGGACCTTTTGGATCATATAATTTATACTCTTCATTAAACTTTATTTCTTTTCCATTTGTTTGCATTAACGAGAAAGTTTGGACTTAAGTGAGATATAAAGGAATAATAACCCTAAATTTTGCTCTATTCGTTTTATTTAAATAAGATTGAGTTTAAATTATATGAATAAAAAATAGTATGAGGAGACCATGCTAGCTTTGACTTTATTATATTAATCAACATTTAATGTGAGTTATATTTTATGTTTGTCTATTTTGAAATAAAATAAAATAGAAGGTGGTGTTAGATAATGGTACATTTTCGTTGTATTTTCAAATATAGAATGAATGTTTAATTTTTCTTTCTTCACGCATTACACACTATGTCACTGTCATGGATCTTTTCTTACGAAAAAGTAATAATAATAATAATAATAATTTTTTTATGTGAAAATTAAATAAAATTAATATTAACTTTTTAGTTATATCATGTAACTAAAAATATTAAATTAAATTAAATTAAAGATCATAATATCTTCTTTCTCGTATTATTCAATGCGGTTCTATAAATAAGAATTGAAAATAAATTAAAATAATGTCAAATAATTTTTGTATCCAGTGATCATATATTATGTATTAAAATATTACTTAATTTTTTATTTTGAAATTAATAGCTATAGTAACCTATTATTTTCTAAAGAATTAAAATAATTTTGAGATATAACTATAGTATTCATACAATTTATTTGTAACTTTTATAATTTATTAATACTTTTAAGTGGGAATCTAACCACTAGTCTGGTTTAGCAAAATTTCAGGAGCAAAATAAAAAATATATATATTCAACTGATTTATTTTAAAATAATTCATAGTTTTTTAATTTTTAATTTGAACAAGTTATAAATTCATCTAATTAAAATTAAAAAAATATTATTAAAAGGTGTTTATATTAAAATAATTAAATAATTTTTTATTTGTAGTATGATTTATAAATAATTTTGATCTAATTACAAATTTAAAATATATATTATTAAAATGTATCTATATTAAAATAATTAATTAAAAAGATGTTTAAATAAAATTTAAAATTAAAATAAAATATATTAATAAATTTTTTTCAGATATAATAATTTAATATATAAATTATAAAAAAAATTATTCTTTCTTAAAATAGGAATTAAAATTTTATTTTATTTTATTATTATTATTATTTTCTAATATAATGATGTAAAATAATGTTAAAAACTTACTTTTTACATTCATTCTTAAAATAAGTGGATATTTTATGAAATTAATTTATAATACATATATTTTTAATAAAATAATATAACTTTTATTTTTATTTAAAAAATAATCATTATTTTAAAAAATAGATGGGTTCATAAATCTACAATTTAAAACATAAATTTATTCATAATTCGGATAAAATAAACTTAAATTCAATTTAGATAATAATTTATTTTTCTAATTTAACTTATTTTTTAAATCTTTGGAACTAATTTATTAAAGTAAGATAATCTTGACATATACTTTTAAGAAAATTCAAAAATATATACATAAAAGATATAGATAATAAGCATATAGTGATTAAAAATCTTATTAAACAATTAGATCACACACTAATATTGACAAAATTACAATGGTTGAAATTTAAATTCTCGAATATTGAATCCCAAAAATTGTCACTAGATTCATGTGCATGGAATATTGTGTGTCCTTGCATGATTTAAGGATACATGCTGCAAGAGAAGTACTTTATAAACTTGTGATGATGACAAAAGAAATGAAAGATAATAATACTTAATTAATAGGTTTAGTTGCCAAAGAATTATTGTGCTTCATAAGAATCAAAGTGATCTCAAAGTTAATTGTGTTGTCTCTTGCAAGATTTTATTTCACAACGTGAATGCTTGAAAAGGATTAACGAATTTCTCTTGCAATATAAAGCCATGTTCTACACTTTTTGACTCCTCCACTTTCACTCTTTTTTACACGCCACACCTTAAAACATATTACACCAACTTTCTTCATTTCAAAACCAATAAACAATGTTTTCATAACACTTTCTAACTCCACATTAACGGTTACAAAAAATAAAAACCATATAATAATTCAAAATCTTGAAGACGTATCAATTATCAAATCTCACAATTAATTAATGCAGCGTTTGAGTGTAGCAGATGAGTGATGAGATCAACAAATTGCGTTCAAGATTGAATTATTTGCACACCAAAGATCATATATCAGATCAAATCAAACTCATTAACTAGGGTTCATGAGAAACAAACAAGAGCTAGTTAACACATGTTTGAGATTACATGAAAGACAGAATATACCTTTGATTAAATGTGAAGACATTATTGGGTTACCACATAGTAACATATGCAACAAATGGTACTGCATAGTCCAATGTTTGTGGGGTCCTAACGGCTAATACCTGTCGGAAGGAACCCTAGAGAATCATGGGTGCCAACTTTGTTTAAAACGCGTGGGCTCCATTTGCTCAAAACAATTAAGCTTAGAGAAAATTAATAGTGAAAATGGGTCACTTAGAACCAATCCTTTATTTTATTTTTTATTTAGACTCTTTAGGTGGGTCGTCAATTCCATCACCAATCATATCATGTTTTGATGATCTTTGGAATCCCAAGCAGTCATTAACACAAAAGTGGGGGCCCCACTTTTGCTATTAAATTAATTCAAATGTTGGATAATTAAAAATTTATCCTTTAATAGAATATATTGCCAAATTATCACATTGGTAATGGTAACCTCTCCTTCTAAGCAAACTCTACTAGGATTATGACTTCAACATGACCATCTTTGACACACATACATTATCGATGTGATTTATACATCAAACTCGATAAGTGAATATATATTATGACTTTTATACTATTAAATTTACTCCGGGTAAAGTTTTTTTTTTCTTAAATGATTTTAAAATAAAATATTCTAAAGAGATTGAATAATGTAGTGCAAACTAACTAACTAACGTCACATGTCTACTTTTCTTCTTTATATACATATACTTCTATATTTTTTTTAATAGAAAAACCACGAATATCAAGTGTTTTGTTTTCAAGGGGAAAATGATAAAAAAAATGGTGAAGAAGAAAAGTGATTAAAAAATAAATTGAAATGAGAAGGTTTTGGGTCTCGAAGTGTACCAAAAACGACGGCCCGTTGGTTTGTCGCGTTGTGCGCGGATGCAGACAAGTTAGATTGTTAGTTAGCGTTGTTTGATACTGCCGCGTGGCCCAATCTCTTTTTCAATACACACCCTCTTTTTTTTTTTTTCTCTTTCCTTCTAATGTGAATTTTAATAGAAACTACATTTATTAATTAATAGTTACTAATAATTAGCGTTGTAAAAAAATATAATAATTTTAAATTCATTAGAGGAAAAATATTTAATTCAACTCTATTTATATATTATAATTTTATCATATTTTTAACTAATCTAAGATTTTTTTAAGATTTTTTTTAACATATTTATTTATATTAAAAAATTCTATTATATTTTTTAAATTAAAAATGAATAATCTGATATTGATTCAAGATAGTTTACACCATGATTATTAATTATTAATGTATATTTTAGATTGAATTCTGATATCATTTTTTTTAAATAATAAGATATTTAATTTAACTCTACACAATTGACTGAGACAAATAAATATCATTATTAAATGTTAATATTATGTTTCACAATGTTCTTCTAGTGAAATAGAATTAATTTATGATTGGCCAGACTTGTCGAAAACATACTTAAAAAGATTAAAAAAATTATAGATAATATTGTTATTTGATTCTGTTTTGTAAATTGCAGGTAGGAGTCAAATATGTTTTATACATTGGAATCTGTGGGGACAGTATGCTATCCTTCAGTGTTCACGAGACTCTTGTAAGACTCATCCATAAATGCTTTTAATTTTTGAATATTTATTTCTTAGACAATGATTAAAGAATAATAGTGATTCTGGGGATTTTTATTTTACAAAGTGTGTTGGGGTTAGGGGACGGAAGGAAGATGAAAATCCAGGTGAAATCTGACTACAATAGATAAAGCAATCCATCATAAAGAGAGACAGGGAATAAGAGCCAAGAAATATGGGTATGATTTTGGTCTGTGAGTTGATTATAATAACACATCATTGTCCAAACAAACACCAAAAGAAAAGGATTAGCAATGTTGTTACGCATAAAAATTGGAAGAAAAGCACGTAAGAGAGGCCCCACACGGTTTCTTGGTAAAGGCCTTGGTTTATTGAAGAACATGGATGATGCAATGCAACTCACACAAAGCAAACCACCAAAGAACTGTGCTATTGACTATTGAGTCTCAGCACATGCTTGCACAATTTCGATTCGTTCACATATCACTTGTCAAGAAAAAGTTCACATGCCTTTAAGGCCTTTAAGACCTTTTTAAAGTGAAAAATCATTTCTCGTCTTATTTTTCTTTAATGTTATTATTTTGCTCTCTTTTTTTTTTCATTTATTTTTTTTGGTGTTTAACTTGGACCCTCTGATAAAAACTTTACGGGCTTGGATCTGGGTTTGCTTTCGACAGAGTTCACCAAATATTTTGGACCACTTAGAACTTAAGGCCCACATAGAATTCCAACAGCACAGGATCTTTTGCAACCCTTTGGAACAAAAAAGATCTTGATAATGAAAGAGCATAAAGCTTATCCATTAAGTAGAATTTAATTATGTTGTTTATCCCAATAGTATGATTGAAGATAAAAGAGAAAAGGCAAAAAAAAAAAAAATTGCGCTTTGATAATCAGTAAAGTTGTTCAACAAACTAAGAAAAACTTTAATGGACTTTGGTATTTCCTTTTGCTTAGCCAATCAAATTGTAATCAGTTTACTTGTTAATGTCTTCTTTGCATCCTTCCTTTTACGTATCCATCCACCTTTTGAGTTTTAATGACAATAGGTTTTGTTTTGTGGTTTTCTTTAGAAATATCATAAACAATAAAATCACACTCTAGATTATGTGTGAAATAAGAATGATACTTCGTCATTATATTTGAGGAACGAGGACGTAAGAAGAGACAGAAAACGAAACATTCACCTAAGGTTCGTCCTAAGTCATTGTTATTATCAAGTGATAGTCAAGGGACTAGGAACATAGGATTACAATTCAACATGACATACACTTTCAAAGTCATCATAGGATACATATATTAAATGATTAATTAAAGAAAGAAGGTTAAAGATTATAATTCTGTCAGTTAAGTAAGCTTAGTCTAATCTTCGCATCTTGACATTTACGGGAATCTCCTTGTACGAATGAACCTTCTGAACTGCTCTTCGCAAGGGTCTTCCAAAAGAACACCTTGGAGCTTCATTTCTTAAATCAGAACTTTTTCCTCTTTCAGTTTTTGACGTTGGAGATATGCATCCTCTAACTCGAACAAATTTTCTAGCGGTTCATGTTCATGGGTTTTGAACGTGGTAGAATGTCTCCTCAAACGTCTTCTGCGTACCAAAAATGGGGAATTTATCATATTAACAAATTTCTATACAATTATTACTTAGTAATGCTAGAAATTTTCTCAGGTGCTTTGCAAAAATGAAATTCTTCATGCAATCATACATTCAACACAAATAAATTAAGGTGATTCAGTTCAATGAGCTCAGGCATCCAAGTTGTCAATTTAAACCATGCATTGATCATCTTAAACTGAATTAAGCTAAGAGACATTGGTCGATGTAGTAAAAGAGTGAACTAACCTATTGTCTTTAGCCTTTTCTTTGCCTGTTTTCTTAGAAGCAGTTGAAGAACCAATAGCTGCAAAGTTCCATAACAAGCTTAAACATAATTGGGAAAGAAAAATGTAAAATGAAAATAAAAATAAAAAATAACCATGAAGGTGAGTTATAGCATTTACATTTACTCCTTATGCGTCTTCTATTCATACATTTGTGTTGTTCATCATTGCTGTTTTCAGGGGATGGCTGTCCTGACTTTTCATCTCGTTCCTTGAGCCAACCGAAACATAAAACAATAAGAGGAAGAGGAATAACATTCAATATTCATCAATGCAATCAATATGGCAAACAAATAATTGGAATGGTTTTCTCTCAGGCACCTGTAACTGTGATACCGTCGGAGGATTCTTTGCGCAGTCAATCTCCACTTTGTCCTGCAAAAATGGAAAGATTTACGATGATGATGATAAGAGATTGAGAAAGAAAAAGAAAAAGAAAAGGAAAGGGAAAGCATTGTTTTAGGCCTTAACCTACACACTGCATTGGAAATTTTAGATTTTAGGCCACACAATATAAAAAATTTAACAAATCCTGTTAAATGATTATAAGGATTTTTTTTTTGTTTATCTTTTGCACAAAATGAGAATGCTTACAAATAACTGTCGAGTACTGAAGACAGTGATGGCATAAAAAATTGATGTCTAATGGATAACTTTAACAATAGACACTTGAAGATGCACATAAGCAGCAATTTCCAGTTCAGGACAAAACACCCATCGGAATACTTGAAGGATAATTACGTTGAGAAAACGTTTTTCCTTTACATTTTCTAATCTTACAAAAATTATAGGCACAAACACTTAACATAAATGCAAAACTTTTGTAAAGAGACGTTGCTAACCAATCATTTATGCATTTTTCTGGAGTGGTATTAATGCACAAACACTACACATATATTAATTAATGGATGATGATCACAATTTAAAAAATAACACCTGTATGTAATTCATTTTTTTTTTTAAATGTAATTCATTTTTTCAAAAAATGTAATTCATTTTTTCAAAAAATGTAGGTCATAAATAATTTTTTCTTATAACATGTCATTGATATGAAGTATAGCCATGAACCTTACTAATAACTATATTTCATAAAAAAATAGTTGATCACTTTGAAAGAATCTATTTTTCCAATCATGGCTTTTATAAAAAAACTTGAAACATGAGAGATTACTTATAAAGAATTTGAGTTCAATTCTAGTTGGACCAACATTATTATATTTGTAGACCATTACATGTTTGGGGTCCTGATGACTCTCTATGTGATAATTATACAAACTTTTCAATGTTTAAGAAAGATTGAATGATAGTCTGGTATATCATGCAATTACTTCTCACCAACAACAGTTTCTTCCACAGAACATTCTGTAGATGGAGTAAGGTAAGCGCGTAACCGAGTATATGTAGGAACAGAAATCCAGCTTAAAGCATAACAAACCTGCGCATCCATGGTCTTTCCTCTTATCAAAGCAGCCCTCCACAATATTTCATGCTGCAGCGTTTTAATCTGAAACGACCATCGTCAATTCAATAGAAAAAAGGAATCTTAAAATGCAATTTGAGTTGCAGGTCACAAACAAATGAATTCATTAAACCGAACCATCTCACTAACACATGACTCACCCTTTCCCTCCCCATGTTAAGCTCCTGCAAATTAACCACAAAGAGTTACCATCACCTACAATCAACCACGTTAAATAACAAAGCAATGGTTCAATTCCGAAACTAACCGCTAACATGTGACTATTGGACTGCGCGAGGTTCCAGTTTTGGAATTGCAGCTTCTTCACATCGCCTCTCAGCCTCTGCAGCTCCGCGCCACTAACTTCAATCATTTTGCTGTTCAATTTAAATCAAGTAAAATTAATAACACTATAGTTCATTGCTTGCAATTCTCAGATCCTAAAACTGATACTTTACTTACTCTCTTTCCGCGAGGAGTTGGATCAACGCCGTTCTTTCCTGCATCACAATTCAACCAAACAATTAAAAAATTTAAATTAATAATATCTGAAAAATTAAAAGAAAAAGAATAGCAAGACAATAAATGCACCTTGAGAAGTTGTTGAATGGAATTGTTATCAGAGGGAAAAGTTTGAAGCTGTTGAGAGTGAGTGTTGGCGTTGTTGGTGATGTCAGAAAGCTTCTTCCGCATTAAGTTTCCGATGGATTTCTTCGCCATTTTGTTTGACATGGTCATGCTACTACAATGCCACCAACTATTTGATTAATTGCGAGTTGTTCATTTGAACGGAGCGAGGAAAGTGAAGAAAGGAAAGAGTGTGATGGAAGAAAAACAAAGCGAAAAGCGAAAAGGAGCGAACCAAGGACACTTCACTCGCTTCGGAGCCTAACGGCTTCTTTAACTGAAACTACCGTTACGTCGTCCGAGCCTAATTCAAAGCCTCCCGAACCTCCCTTTCAAAATTATCTAAAGGTCACAGGCGGGTTACCCTATCGTCCTATCGTGTTTCAAATTTTCTCTTCCGAATTTGATTTGAAAAAAAGAAAAATCCAAACCTTTATATAACTATCCTGTTAGATATCTTTTTCTTAAAAAAAAAATCTCTTAGTTTAATGTATTTATTTTTTAGATTTTTTTTAAAATTTAGTCCTTCAATTTCTAGAAAATATATTATTAGTCCCTTCATGTCCATAGAAAATAAGATATAGATAATTTGGACACGGTAACGTTTTACTATTGAGATGACAGTTTTTTTATTGAATAATTTAGTTATATATATTCAATAATTTGAGCAATTGTGAATTTATTGGTGTGATTGAACTAATCAATTATAACCTCAGTAATGATTAAGAATTTTAAAAAATTGTACCAAATTCATATATAGTAAAATAAACTTTTAAGCCTAAGAATTAAAATTGATGGGAGTAATTTCTAAAAAATTTTTTACTAGAAAAAAATTATGCTAAATACATAGTATCTCTAGTTTGCTTCTTTTAAGTTCGAATTATACACAATTGGGGTATTTTCTTCTTAAATAAAGTTGTTTTAACCTGTGTTTTTTATAATCCGCCTAAAATAATAATAATAACAATAGGTACATTTTCTCCATTATTTTATTTAAAATATTTTTCACTTTTTTATATATTTGAACCTAACAAGTTGTGCATTGGATACTTGTTATTTAGATTACAATCCACTTTCTTAAAAGTGATTGAATCACTAACACTTAAAAGGAGACATGACATTTTTAACCTTTTTTTCGTAAATTTCAATTTTAAATTATTTTGTATAAGTTATGATGTGATTTTCTCAACAACAAAAAAAACCTTCTATTTTAAGTCATGCTTCTTCAAAATAATTATATTCATTGTGTAATTTATTATATTTTATTGTTATAAAATTAAAAGCTTAGTGCATTATAAGAAATATTTACTAATTAAAATTAATTTGATATCATTCATAGTTATATTAGTCTAATTTTAGTATTAGTTTGATTAGGGAAGAAATTGAAGGAGGAAAAAGAAACAAGATAGAAATAATAAAACATCAAATTTCTTTCGACTGATAGAGAGAGAAAAGAAAATTAGTTTCACAAAAAATGCTAGAAAACAACCCCACGCTGCCACGCATTCCAATTGGAATGAAACGAAATGAGGGAGAGAACATATCCCATATATTATTGTTTTAGTTTTTTTAAAGTAAATCATTTTATAGCACTGTTAGAATAATAAATAATTAAAAAAATTAATTAGCATATAAGTAGTCTCCATAATTTTAATTTATTTTTCACTCATCTAAATAAGTAGAGAAAAAATTACTTTCTTTTATTTTTGCCCTATTTCTATGTATATAAGTTTAGCATAATTTTTATTCTATTTTTGTCCTATTATCTATTTTATAACATTGTATTGTATTGTATTGTATTTATTTATTTTATTCATTCGTAAAAGTTAAATATATATGGGAAAGTTTACCACAACTCAAACTCTTTAATTATCTGAGTCAGATTCTCTTAACTCATAATATGTGGGATAATAATGATATATAAACCATTCTTCAGAAAAAAATAAACATAATCACTTTTATCGATATAATAATAATAATATTCTATTTTTCCTTTTTCTTCGTCTCTCTTCCAAAAATTGTTTGTTTAGAATGGATTATCAAATAATTTTTCACGGGTGGTTTGAGAAAAAAAGGAAAAAAAAATTGAACTTACAAAAAATAATTGGTTTAGTTGAGGATGTGTGTACATATAAATAAAAATATTTCATTATTAATTTTTTTTATATATGACAAATTTGTTAATTTTTATAATGATAAGAATAATAATAATAATAATATACTTAAATGTATTCATTAAAATGAAACACTAATTTTAAAATGAAAAGGTGACGGTATAATCTAAAGCTCTCAAAGGGGAGTATGTTTTACTTTCAAAATTAACCAAACGTTGTTTGTTTTGGAGACTGGCTGATCAAAGATATTACATCACTTATCAGCAACAACACATTACAGTTACTTACATGTAGTTTTCAGGTTCCACACACCTTCGCTAACTGGGGGTATTGTCTTGACATAATATATGAAACAGGCACAAAAGAAACTTCAGATG